TGGAACATCCTTAGCCCCATCTCACAAAAAGGTGTACTAAAGGGAATCTCAGCTCTAATCATCCTTAAACCATGCTCCAACTTTCTGGAGTTTACTGTACCTGCCTAAGCCCTCAAAGCCCTTAAACTACATGCTGGGCCTGTTGAAAATACGACAAACAGCTGAACAAAGAGATATCGAGCAACTACCAGAATAAGAAAAATCGAAACAAATGGGTGTACCACATGGCATACATCTGCAAATGATTCAGTTGCTGTACAAAAAAGTATGATATGTATTTCCGGCTGCAAGGGAAATGTCTCCGACATAGCAGTATGAGTGTGTTGTATTCTTGTTGTACTTGCTGCGCTTGGATGCTCGCAAAACAGGTAATTACTGCATTCCACTTCCGTGTGCATCCATCTGATCCAGATGAAAGAACAAATCTGCAAAACACTGCAACTCAAAAAGGTGCTGCAATTGTGTATCTTGCAGCAGCTGGCCACGCGCTGCGATACATGGATAGGCCCTAAACCCTAAGCCGATTCTTCAGCGTTCGAATCCCCTCCCCATACTATCACCCCCCCCCCCCCCCCCAACCCCCTTAATTTAAAATACTGCCATTATGGTTCTATAAGAGTATGTGTGGGGAGGTATGTAATATTAGGGGGGGCAGGCGAGGGGGGAGGTGGGGGTGGGGTTGAATATTAGGGGGAGGGGATTCGTGTTATAAGGTCTGGGATGGTAGTTGGCCTTGCGGCTTCGGGGTTTTGGAGGGACGAGGAGTTACAAGGAGGGGCCCCCCTACTTATAAGTAGAGTTATAAGGACCCTAAATTGGGTTATAGGGATCCTAAATTAGGTTATAAGTCCCTTAACTACAGTCAGTATAGTAAGGGGGCTCCCTTGTAGGGGTTAAGGGCATGTAGGGGTTAGGGGCTTAGGGCTTTGGAGCTTTTGGGGCTCTTGCTTAAGCTTGGGGTGTTGGGCCCTGACTCAGGGTGTAAAGTGACTTCTGGCTGCGAGGTAACGAGCCTGCGGTCCAAACAGAAGAAACTCTCAAGTGCGGGTTTTTTGAACATTAGGCGTTCGGCGCTTCTTTTCAACGGAGATTCTACAACACTTGTCGGTACACAGGGTGGCCTGAATACCTGGATACAAAAAACTCCCAAGTATCTCAGGGCTACAGTTCAAACAGCATCTAGATGGGAGGGCGAAGGGTGGCCTCCGGTGAAAGAACGAGTCGCAACAGCCTGCCCCCACCCCCTCCTCCAGATTCTTGCAAATGAGCGGCGAACCCCTTTGTTTGCTCAGTGGGTCCACCAAGGAATTCAAAGCCCATAAGCCTAAACCCATAGGCCCTGAACCCCCAACCCGAAACCCTAAACCCTAAAAGTAAAACAACGCTGCGTCAAGGGAATCCGGCATTACGGGCCCTTATGGATCCTTTGCCCGAAGCCCTAAACCTTAGACCCTATACCCAGAATCTGACAACCCTAAACCCTAAACCCCACAGAGAGGATAAGCCCAGTCACAGGCACCACCACGATGAGGTCGACAAGGAACCAAGTGCTCAGATAATGGACCTCTGAAATCTGCAAGAACCGGGTTTAGGGCTGAGGGTTTGGGGTTTAGGGTTTAGGCTGGGGTTTGACTTGGTAGCCCAGAAGCCATATTATCATACCGGCTCCCTTCTCCGGTTGGTTATCTGAAAAGGGAACTTTGAACCAACAATTAGGAAAAGGGAGCCACTGGGCTACCAAGTAGAGGGTTTTGGGGTTTTTGGGCGTCTCTGCGCCTGACCTTAGAGCGGCGTGTGTATAGGGTTTAGGGTTTAGGGTTTAGGGTTTAGGGTTTAGGGTTTAGGGTTTAGGGTTTAGGGTTGACACATACTAAAGGAGTCTGCAGCCCCAAGCAGAAAAGTTCCCCATGGTTCCTGGTTACGCGGTACCCACCACGGGGCCTTTTCTAGCATAGTGGGGACCCACTAGCCCTTTTTGAAGGAAGATACCTACCTAATTATCCTTCAAGCTTTTCGGGCTTCGCGATGCCACATGTCGGAACATGTCCCTTTTCCTAAGATGCGGGGCTGACCATCCCGTTTAGCTCAAGCGCAACAAAGAGGAAGAACTCTGCCAAATCTCTCTTCCAGGCCCATCAGGAAGCTGACGTCAACATGGCTGACTATGAGCCCGACTCGCACGTTTAGTTCAATATACTACGATTTGCTTAAGCACCCCTCCAAAAAACACAAACAAAATCCCGATACCAGTGAGGCAATCGTCTAGACCCAGGAGTAACCTAGGAACAAAAAGGTGCCCCTTTTTGGTGTAAAGAGGCTTATCACGGAAAGGAACCCCCCCAAAAGGGAATGCGGGCCTATGCTCTGGGTCCTAGTAGTCCTAAACCCTAAACCCTAAAACCCTAAACCCTAAACCCTAAACCCGTCCTACTGTATAAGGTTAACTCAGCGGAAGCTCTTAATTCGGGTCGACGGCGAGAGTGCAGATGGATGAGCCTCATGGCTCTAAATCCTGAAGCCAACCACAAAGCGTTTAGGGTTTAGGGTGTGAAAGCCCGGGTCCCCCGCCCATATTTTGCGCATGCTCATGACCAGGTCGCCGCGGATGTAGAAGCCACTCCTGTGCTAGAACCCGGAACCTACGAAATTGCTTAAGAACTCCCCCGAAAATCAATATACTCTTCCTTATAAGGGCAACATAGGGATTCTTGCTTTCTATTTTTTTTTTGGGGGGGGGCTTCTTAAGCAAACAGTAGGAAAGACGCCAGAGGCGTTCGGTAGGGGCTTCGGGCATGGGGGAAGTGCTCAGGTCCCAAGACTCTGTCTGCTTGCGAACCCCCGGGTCTGCAAGAAGAAAGAATCCCTGCAGGGACCGCATGCCATGCCAACCCCTACCTTAAAGGGTTTCGGAAATAGGGTTTAGGGTTTAGGGTTTGGGGTTTAGGGTTTGGGGTTTAGGGTTTTAGGTGCAAGTAAGGTAAGGCTTCAGTTTGGATCTTTTGTTAAGATGGGGGGGGGGGGGCGTAAAAGGTGGACAGCATGGGGATTCCCATGAACATGACCCTCAACCAGAGGCGTGAACAAAATCCTAAACCTCAAAATGCTACCTTGTACCTGAACAGCGGGTACAAAACACACCTGAAAGTTCCGGTGTACCTCCCTATTGTCCATAAAAGCCTGCTCTTATGAGAGTCGGACTGATGCAGAACCTGCAAGGAGGGGCCCCCTTACCATACTAACTGTAGTTAAGGGACTTATAACCTAATGTAGGATCCTTATAACCCAATTTAGACTGTTGATGTGCCAAGGGGCACAGCCGACACGAACATGTCCAGGGTCCAAAAGACTAAGGTGAAGATGTCCATGAAGATGGTGAAGGGCACCTGGTTCTAACCTCCCCTTAGAACCTTCACAAAAATAGCATGTTTAATATCCTCTTGGGTTTTGATTTAAACAAAAACGAAAAAGAATTCCCCGGGGGGATATAGGGTTTGCCAGAGCCGATACCCTGCACTAACGGCACAATTCCTATGGGGAGGAGGACGGGGGGGGATCCCTAAGTTAACGCGCCCCTGTGCGGGGGGCTGGCTTCCCCTGTTCACAATGGTGCCGCCCACAGGGGCGATAAATGTGGGGAAAAACCACCTTTCATGACAATTGACGAAAGCTGGGATCTTCCCCCAAGCTCTAACAGTCCTTAATGGGGATTCTAGTACCCCCCCCCATTATATAGTCCCTATCAAGGACGGTTCGTGCAAGGGGGAGCATCCCAAGACAAAAGGATAGCTCTTCATTAAGGGATATTGGGTCTAGGGGTCAGAGTTCCAACAAGGCTAAGAGGAAGCACATAGCTTGTATCCACTCGAAACACTTTGAAAGGACCCTAAACCCTAAGCCTCAACCCTAGAACCTAAGCTCTAGGCCCTAAACCCCTAAACCTAAACCCCTAAACCCTAAACCCCTAAACCCTAAACCCTAAACCCGAAAGGCTCCCAGAATCACAGCAGCAACTTGACGGCATGGATCGACGGTATAGATTCGGTGCAGATATGCGAGGTTCCCCAGTTTAGGGTTTAGGGTTTAGGGCTTAGGAAGTAGTTGAGGAGAAAACCGTTATTCGGCTCAGCGGCTTCAAAAGCACAGAGCCTTTCACATTTTGCAGTGGCTTTTCCCAACTAGGCACAGAAGTGTAACCGCAACGACTACTGGGGAACCTCGCAGATCTGCTCCGAATCCATAACCCCTAAACAGTTAAGGGTTTGGGGTTTAGGGTTTCGGGTTTAGGGTAAACCTTAAACCCTAAATCGAAAAATGCCTAAACCCTGAAGCTTTTGGGCCAAAGCATTTCCGGGGTTTAAGCGCAGCACTTATTCTGAGCTTCACAGGTGACCGTGCAGGATGTGACAAAATCAGGTTGGCCCTGAAAAACCTCTGAAAAGTGTTCCTAAACAGGATTCTGTTTAACCATATATATATATATATACATACATGTATACATATACTTTACATCCCAAAGGGCCCTGCTGCAGAATGGACAACAGGGCTGAGGCCGCTTTTTCGTTTAGGGCCTGCTTAGGGTGTCAGAACTCAAAACCTCAACCCCAAGCCGGGAATGGGGTTTAGGGTTTGGGGTTTGGGGGTTTGGGGTTTAGGGTTGAAGGTTTAGGGAGGTACATCATGGTACATCGACAAGCCAACCACCAACAAATCGATTGTTTTCTCTCAGCCGATTCGCCAGCTTAAGGCTTGAAGCCCTAAACCCTAAACCCTAAACCCATAACATCTTCGCCGGCTCGGCGTGAAACTTCTGCCTGTCCCCACATCCCAGGAACAACATGGAACAACCGAACGGGGCAGATGAGGCGTAGCCAAGAAGCCCACCACTGAAAGCCACAGTGTTAAATTACCACCGAATACAATATCTGTTAATACCATCATATAACCCTGCGTCCCGTGGACCGTGGAGACTGGACACCAAGCTGGGCTTAGAGTGTAGAGTTTTAGAGTTTAGGGCTGGCTTTCTTGACTTTGCGCGGGCGAGGGGTCACCGCCTCCGTCCGGTTGATGCCATGGCGCTCAAGGTACGCAAAGACTCCTCTGCCTCCATCCGAGTCTCCGTCAAGTTCCGACTTGAACCAGTCGCGCATAACGCTCTCATGCTCAATGAGGTCATCTGCAAGGGCCTTCAGCTCGGGCGTACCCCCAACTGTCTTGAGTCGACTGTACAGCATGATTGCCGCGGGAGTTTCGACGATCATGAGCTTGGCGGCCAACTCGAACGTGCGCAAGGTCCGACGGGCCATGGCAGCCCCCATACGAATTACCGCCTCGGCGTGAGTGTCGGTGATCTCCATCTTGGCATCGTCGCAGAATTTCTTACAGTAGCCGATGTTGAACCACTCCATGTTTGCGCACGCCGTAAGTATCTCAGAATGCTGGGGATACATCTCAGCCAGCTCTTCGAGCATGCCCACGCCGAAGTACTCACCCTCCCAGGAAAGTCGCAGTAAAGCTTCGAGCCTCATTTGGCCGAAGATCCGCCCTTCTTCTGCAACCGTGATTACGCCCATCGCTGCTGGCAGCACTCAAAGTCTAGATGGAAGTCTAGAAGTTCTATGGCTTTGCTTGCATTTGGCCATTTGGCCACCATTCCTTGGGTTTAGGGTTTAGGGTTTAGGAGTTAGGGTTTAGGGTTTAGGGTTTAGGGCTCCAAGGAGAAGATCCTTGGATAAAACATTTTCACACAAAGGAACTGCCAAGACGAAGAATCGCTGGACAAGCCAATGGGTGCTACGATGCACAAGCTTCAGCAGCTTGCAATAGGCCCTGAAAACCCTAAACCTTAAAACCTTAAACCCTACACCCCAAACCCCAAAACCCCAAACCACAAACCCTAAACCCTAGACTCTAAACCCTAAACCCTAAACCCTAAACCCTAAACCCTAAACCCGGTGTCAAGCCCTGAGTTCGATCTTGCAGGGCCCGAGGCATAAGATGCGTTTTGGGCATTCTTTAGGGGTCCTCCTCAAGGCGCTCCTTGTGGTTTAGGGGTTTCGGGGTTTAGGGTTTAGGGCTTAAGGTTTAGGGTTTAGGGTTAGAGCCTCATAGGGGGGGGGGGGTATTTTCGCATATTGATAAAGGGACCATCGGGGAAAACCACTAGTAACTATTCCGACCCCATATCAGGGTTCAGGGTGTAGAGTTTAGAGTTAAGCGTATAGGGCTCTTTGGGATCCTTCCGATGAAGTGACACCTAGGCCGTGGTGCTTTCAGGAAATGTTTGAAAGAATACAAACTGAAGACTTAAAACACTCACAGCCCCCAACGCAGTGAACCCTAAACCCTAAACCCTAAACCCTTTTACGGATTCTTTCCATATCGAGGTGTCTGAGAGTGGGGCCGGGGTCAAGTCCAACACACCCAGGGGGATGTAGAAGACGTCCCAGCCTCGCCAATTAGGGTTTAGGGTTTAGGGTTTGGGGTTTAGGGTTCTCGCCAAGACCCGGACTCAGGCTGGAAAGGCGCACATGCTTCGAGTTTAGGGTTTAGGATTTGGGGTTTAGGGGTTTTGGTTTTGGGTTTAGGGGTGTGGGGTTTTGGGGTTGGGGGTTTTGGGTTTTTGGGTTTAGGGGTTTGGGGCGGGGGGGTCGAGGGTTTCGGGGTGCGGGGTTGAGGGTTTGGGGGGTTTGGGGTTTAGGGCGTCGGGGGTGTACCTAGACCTCCTAGGTGCCCTCAAGATACCCGGGCTTGAAGTTCCCCAGCAAGGACTACATTGCTTGCGAAAAGGGTGCCATAGTTGCTGAAAGCTAGTTTCACAAAAAACAAACGAATAACTGGGTAAACCCTAAACCAGCCCTTACCCCTAAACCCTTCTGTGATTTTTTTTGTTGTGGGGGGGGGAGGTGTTCAGGCTTGGACGTTTTAGGGTTTCGGATGTTAGGGCGCAAGGCTTCGGCTTCGCGAAGATTAGGGCATGAGCTTCGGTGTCTTTGTTTGTCGGGACTCCTCTCCGAAAACGCAGCCCATGGTTCCTAAACTCTGAAATTAAGGGGTATGAGGAGGGACCCCCAAAAGGGACCCCTAAATTCCACCATATATACCTTATGTAGTCCCTATATACCTAAGTAGCTAGTAGCTCATAAATAACCCCCAAATAACCCCTAAGGTCCCTTGTAAAGGGTCCTCCTTTTTTAGTAGGTTCCTAAAACCCTGAAACCCGGTCTTAGGGTAGGGACATGGCTATACCCTCAGAATGAAACCCTCAATCTGAACCTTCAAGCGCTACCCAAAGGCAACCTGTAGGCCAAAGACATGGAACTTCTAGACTTGCGCTGTTCGTGAACGTTTGGGGTGTAGGGTTTAGGGTTTAGAGCTTGAACCCTGAACTCTAGCATTTTGGGGGTCTCTTTGGTGCGTCGGGATTGAGTGGAGTTCGGGCCTCGGATGCGGGGTTGAAAGACCCCAGGAGCCCCAACCAAGCCATTCCCCAACACCGCTTGGAGTGAGATCACATTCAGCCTCACCAAAGAGCCCTCCTAAACCTAAACCCTAAACCCTAAACCCTAAACCCTGCAAAAGTTCTCAGGTCCCGGCAAATCAAAATCAGGCCGGCCATGTCCCAGCAAAGCTTAGGGATGCCATTGGGACCTTGATGCATCTCAGGGGAACGCAATACCTAAACCCTAAACCCTAAACCCTAAACCCTAAACCCTAAACCCTTTTTGGTGTAGAGGGGCTGAAAAGGGAACCTATCCCCCAAAAAAAGGGAATGAGGGTCTAGTCTGGGTCCTAGAATTTGAGGCCCCTGGCCTTTTTGCGGGGGCGGTCCGAGTCTCGGAGCCCTTCGGAGGGTGTGCATGTATACAACATATATATATATATATACATATATATATATATAGTGTGTGGTGTGTCTATATATGCAAATATGAGAGCGGGGGGGGGGGGGGAGGGTACCAACATAAACAAAACATTACATGCAAACAGAAATGCATATATATATATATATGTATATATATATAGGTGTATATATATATATATAGGTATATACACATATATATATATATATACAACCCATGATAAGGCGTCCCCATACTGTAAGCCCTAGCATGCCCCGAGTGCCGGTATTTCAACCTGAGCTCCATGTAAACCCTTGCACCCCTGAGAGAGCAAATGCCAGAGGCCTTGGCAATCCTTCTCCGGCATGAACTGTCTGCATCCTAAGCCCGAAAACCCGGATCCTGCGCAGATGGGACCCCTTGAAGGCAACCCGTAACCCTAAACCGTGTGCCCTGTAACCTGAACACTGAGGCATCTGAGCAAGGGGCTCAACGGCAAAGAAGGCAACCTATCAACGCGAGTCACCAGGAAAGAGGTGATACACTTTGTTCCCACGTGCCCGAAAGCAACAGCCTGCACGTGCTGAGTGTTTGCGTTGCGGTAGCAACCTGTATCGAGCAACAGTCCGGGCGCCAAGGAACGACCAAGACCCCCGAACTAAGGAATTGGGGTTCAAGGCTTGAAGTTCAAGGGGGTATGTTCCCCAAGGTTCCCTAGTACCCCCCACTACTCCTAAGCTTCCCGAGGTACCGACCCCTCTGGAAGCCCCCTCCCTTAAGGACCCTGCTATTATACTCGAATGAGCAGAGCATGTGAGAAATAATGTTTAGCGGCTGTATATGCGGCTGTGTATGGCCAGGTGTCCCCAAAGTCTACCTGCGAATCGACAGCATCTTCAACCCCATGCCCTGAGCCTTACTAGTACTTGCTTAAGAAGCCCCTCCAAAAACAAAGAGATTCTTCCTTATAAGGGAAATACAGGGATTATTCTCTGTTCGGGGGGGTTCTTAAGCAAATAGTAGCTTAGAGCCAGCCTGGGACTCTATTTACCTACCTCTTAGTAGTAGCTTCCCTTCAGTAGTAGGTAGAACCCATAACACTGTAGCCCTAAACCCTAAACCCTAAACCCTAAACCCTAAACCCTAAACCCTGAATGGTAAAGAGGGTTCCAGGATACTCGCTCCACCGGCCGCCTGAGCACGGTCGCGGCGTTCTTCACGTTGATTCCTGAGAAGCCGAGCCATACAGACCCCAAACCCTAAACCCTAAACCCTAAACCCTAAACCCCCTCAGCCCTAAACCGGTGACCTTAAACTCCACAAACCCTAAATCTTTTGGCCCTGAGGGTTGGGTTTTCTGTTAGGGTCCGAAACCTAAACCAGTTCTTGTCCTGGTCCTTAAATCCTGAATCCCCTCTCAGGTCCTCAAGCCCCAAGTCCGAGTTTAGGGCTTAGGGCTTAGGGCTTAGGGTTTAGGGTTTAGGGTTTAGGGTTTAGGGCTTAGGGCTTAGGGTTTAGGGTTTAGGGTTAACGGTTGCGGAGCGCCCTAAACCACTCCAGGTGGCTGTTGAAGGGGTCGAGCTTCTCCCAAACCTTGAGCCCTTAAGCCCTTAAGCCCTTCATCCCTTACAGAAACCCTAAAACCCCTAAACCCTAAACCCTAAACCCTAAACCCTAAACCCCAACACCGAATCAGCCCAGGCACGCAGCTGTGGGGAGCCCACCCCTGCATCCTGCGGCGTGCCCGCTTCTTAGGGTTTAGGGTTTAGGGTTTAGGGTTTAGGGTTTGGGGTTTAGGGTTTAGGGTTTAGGGTTTGGGGTTTAGGGTTTAGGGTTTAGGGTGTAGGGTTTGGGGTTTCGAGTTTAGGGTTTGGGGTTTGGGGTTCGGGGTTTAGGGCTTTTGGTTGTGCCCTTATCTCACCAGACGTACAAGGTACAAGCTGCACGGAATGGAGTTTAAGGGGCTTGGGGTTCAGGGTTTAGGGTTTAGGGGTTCAAGAGTTAGGGTGTGGGAATAAGGGTTTAGGCCACTTTGCATGTCCAGGTTTGGGATCTGCGGACTCTACTACCCCACAGAGCGGCTTCCCATTCCCTGCGCGAAACTGCAGAACAGAAAAGCTTAAACCTCGAAACCGTCTAAACTTCATACATCCTAAAGCCTCCCGCTTTGAAACATAGCCCCTACTGTGGCACTGGCAACCGCACCCAGCGGACTAGCTAGTTCAGAACGCCACAGCTTCAACAAATTCCCCGGAACTTGAAGCAACTGCCGCGCCTGGCCCTGGACCCTGAAGCCAAAATTCAGAAACCCATATTATCATAAGGGTATATAATGAGTAGGGAATGGGGTGGGAATGAGGTACCCTGTATAATCCCTTAAAGGGCATATCTAGGGGGATATAGGGCACCTCATTCCCAACAGTCAGAAAAAAAGGTGGCAAAAGGGTACCACTGGGCTACCGAAGGGGCATCTTCGATCTCGGCGAGGTCGGCCGCCACGTTGTTCTGCAGCATGGACCCCTGTGAAGTGCTAGGGATGTGGAGGTTTGCGAACGTAGGGGAGCCCCCATTGTAGACCCCCCAGTTGTAGGATCCCCTTATAAAAAGGACCCCAATAAGGTACCCCTAATTTCGGAAACCCCCTAAGCCCTAAGCCCTAAGCCCTAACCCCCAAGCCCCAAGCCCTAAGCCCTCAACCCTAACCCCGATTCCAACAGGCCTTCCTCCAGAGG